TTCCTAGGAGTGTAATTGCTGGGTCATAGGGTAGTTCTATGTTAATTTCTTGAGGAACCTCCACACTGTTTCCCAAATCCTAAGCCTAAATGTGTTTTATCTATTCCCAGCTCTACCGTGAAAGAGGTTCGGAGAAAAGCAAAAGCCCTTCGTACTGGAAAAACAATTTAAGAGAAAAAATGGAAAGACTTGGGACTCTCAGGGTGGGGAAGAGAGAATACTAGAGAGAAAGATGAACAGTAGCTTAAAATATGACCAATGCAGTGCTGTCCAATAGAAATATACGCGAGCTGCGTAAGTCATGTTGAGTTTCCTCGTCACCACATTACACAAAGCAAAAAAAAAAAAAAAAAAATAGGTAAAAATAATTTTAATGATGTATTTTCTTTAACTCAATGTATCTGAAATATTATTTCAATATGTACTCCATATGAATTTATTTTAATCAGATATTTTACATTCTTCACAGTAAGTCTTAAGAAGGTGGTGTGTTTATTTTATAATCAGGCATTTCAGCTTGGACAAGCCCCATTTCCCGGCTCCGGTGGTCGCCTGTGGCTAAGTGACTACGTGACGGACAGTTCATGTCTAGGGTGATGAGTGGCCCGGGTGGCTGTTCTGAGTATCCTTGAGGAGGAAACCCCATGGAGTTTAAGTTGGGCAGATGAAAGTGGCTATAAAAATATGGAGGCCTGGGTGCCTTGGAAATTCCAAGATCTTGGAAATTCTGGCTTAATTGGTCTGGCTGGGGCCAGGGCATTACTAGTTTTTAAAAGTTCCCCTAGCAATTCTAATGCGTGGTCAGGACTGAGACCCACTGGGGTAGGGGAAGAATTTCCACCACATGAGAACACTTACACATGTGATGTTTTTTGACATTAATTTATTTTTGAGAGACAGAGAGAGACAGAGAAGGAGCAGGGAATGAACAGGGAAGGGGCAGAGGGAGAGGGAGACACAGAATCTGAAGCAGGCTCCAGGCTGAGTTGTCAGCACACGGGCCGACGCAGGGCTCAAACCCATGAGCGTGGGTTCATGACCCGAGCCGAAGTTGGGCACTTAACCGACGAAACCACCCAGGTGCCCTGGCACTTACACGTTCAAATGAAAGCTGCAGTAGGGAGGGAATTTTCACCACCTCTTGTGTCCAAATTTAAGAACCAGAAGGAAACTGTAAAATTACCATGGCGTCCACCTCTCGTTTGACAAACGATGGAAGGCCAGCCTTGGGTATCCCAGTTTGGTGCTTATTGATGATTTTGTTTGCTTGCCTGCTTATCTCTTTACATCCGCAACACCCCCCTCTCCCTTTTCTTTTTCAGCCTGCGCGAGATTTTCAAGCCCCTTTCTGTTCGAGTGGAACCTGGAGGTAAGTGTTGATGGTTCTCAAAGCCCCACCCACTTCTGAGTGGCTCCAGGGTGTCTTCTCATACGTGGCATCCAGGTACCTCAACACTGGACGCTGCCACTGGGCACACAGGTTGAGGGACTGGGGTCTCTGCGGGGTTCCCATCCATGTCTCTGCTCATGGGAGGAACTCTCTCCATTCCCTTTGCCATCCTCCTCTCCATTTCAGCGAGGCAGAGGAGGATCTGGACCTGTGGGTGCGCTTTAGGACCCACATCTGCAAGGCAGTTGTCATTTTCCAAGTTCCTGCTCACATAATGGGCAATTTCTGCCAACAAGTTAAATATTTAGAAATCAGGGACATACTCTATTGCCAAAGAAGCATGGTCTTAGCGAAGGTCCTATGTGGGGTCTCATGTGTTGGACAAAGCCCCGGGTAGAGTTGATGCATCAGTGTTATTTATAGTGTGGAGAGACTTCGGTGCAGAGAACCCCGCCGCCACCCCCCCGCCCCCCCGCGCCCCCCAGAGGGTGACAGGCTCTGCGCTGAAAACCAACTTTGTCAGGAGCTCAGATAACAGCTTCCTCACCCAGGGTACCTAGACTCCTTCAATTCCTCCTTTATACGACAGTAAATCGCTGTCTTGCTCGCTCTTATTTCTAAAAGTGGGTCAGTCTTCAGTGCCTGCCTTTCAGTTTCTGGGAAATGTCTACTGTCTTCTATCCTCTTGTTTAGCAGCTCAGGCCAAAGAGAATGAAAGACACAGAGCCTCGCCACTTAGGTCATCAAAAGAGTCAGCTGGGATTTTTGTCCTTTACTCCTTCAGGCTTTGAAACGGATTCGTACGGGACCAGGTTTGTACCAGAAAGGTGTAGGCATAGCTTGTTATTTAGCTTATCGGTCGCCGGTTCTAATAGGCCATAAACGCAGATCCTTATGAATCCTCCCCAAATTCCTTTAAAAACCCCAAGCCCGTGATGATGGCCGGTCTGGACCCCTCTCTGAGGATCCCGGGGGAGCTTCACCGGCGATGAATGCGGGAACCCCGGAACAGAACAAATTGGTCTCATAAGCAACAAGTGACAGCCTTTCTGAAAGCAGCTGCTTTCTTCATTAGAAAACTAAAAATAGCCCCAATCATTGCAGGCTGGTTTCACTCTAAGCCTTCTGCCACATCCACTTGCCTGCTTCATTCAGGGCTTCTGCGTGGCTATGACACCGTGATACTATTTCAGACGAAAAGTGCATTGAAGAAACGTTTCCTTTCCCTCCCCCACGTTCACTCCAGATGTCCTCGACTGTCCACGCTGTTTCATATTAGGGGAACTCACGGGAATCTTCCGGCATCCCTGCCACCCCCATCTGCCTCACCCGTTTTTGGAAAAATAAACACCATCCACGCCGAGAGCAAGAAATTACCGTTATTAGGATTTTTTTTTTTTTCTTCTGCAGTGAAATGTTCATTACATGCGTGATGTTCTAAGGGTAGCTCATGGAATCCTGACTACAACTACCCTTTCCAGCTCAGATTCAGTTTGTGGAGACATTTTTTTTTTTTTTTTTTTTTCCTTCTGGAGCTGGCTGACTGTGACCACTGGCAAAGCCAGTTTCCTTTGCAGCTTTAAAAAGTGATCCGGAAACGCAATGTGGAGGCAGCCTATGTGAGCAGGTCAGTCTGGGGGAAGCTGGGAGAACACACACTTAGCCCCTGCCCTTCTCTTTCTTGCCTCCCAGAGGAAATTGGATTTGCATTGTGCCTGAGGGTGGTGCCATGATTATGGTAAGGTGGGTTCCTCGTGTGGCTTGGGGCAGCCTGGCTGTTATGTTCCCCCCTCTCTGCATTCAAGGTACTGAGAGAATGGAGCATAAAATGCAAAAAAATTAGGGGAAGAACAAAAGACATCAGCCCGCTGCTCAATAGTATCCATTTACAAAAGGCACACTCAACAAAACAGACCCAGGGACCCATGACGGGAATCCTTTAGACTCGAAATACGGAAAACAAGCCTCAACCTTCAATTGGACCACACTGTATGCACATTTGATGTATATACAAAAGTAGGGTTTTAATGGCTTTAATAGAACTGAAAATCCTAAAGATGAGAGTTAATGTTGCTATGGAAACTTTTACATGTCTTGACTGCAGAACTCCTAGTTTAAATTTGCAAACTTAGTATCACATTAGCTTTCTTCACATTGGATTTCTGGTTGGTCTTTTAAGAAGATAAAAGCAGAAAAACTACATGTCATACTAATACTTCTTGTTATACTCACAGCCAGAGGAGAGGTGGCTTATGATCATTTGACACATTTTTTTTTCTTTTTTGTCTGCACAGGAAACATCCTCAAAAGAGCTTACATAAGGGCTATGCGGGGTGAAGATTTTATAGTGAGGCATGACGAATTCAGCTCCAAATTTTTCAAAATTCGAATGAGTTCCTTTTTTCGTAGAATTAAGGGTTCAAAGGATGGACCGACATAAATCAGGGGGTTCATAGTTTAAAAATTCCCAGAGTTACCGAGCTCAAAGTCCTACAAAGAGCAGAGGAAGTTCTGGAACACGACACTCAAAGGCATGGTGATGCCTGAAGCCGGTGTTCATTCTCAGCCACCACGCACGGCACTCGGAAATTGGACCCCACGTGAGTAAGAGCAACGTGGAAAGAGTGCCCGTTGAAGAATTGTGGAGTGATGACTCAGAAAGCTTGAGTATCCCTTGCCTGCCCTCTCTCCATCATCTCTTCCCTCACTGTCAGCCCCCTCACCTCAGCCATGGGGGCTCGTCCGTAGGTTTGGCCAACTGGAAGGCTCATAAGCTTTAGAGTCAGGCAGAACTGTATATAAAGGTGGTCCCACCGTGGGGCAGATCATTTAACAACTCTGAGCTTCAGTGTCCTCACCAAATGGAAGTGCTAAATGCTCACACCACATGGATGCCAGAAATGATTGGGGTAGTATTTGCAAAATACTCAGTACTTTCCCTGGAGCACAGCAAGTCCTCAACGAATTCGTTTTCCTCCTGTTGAAATGTGCCCATCCTTGGCACCTTCGCAGCCGTGAAGGGGCAAGCTCGACCCAGGTTGCATCCACTGAGGTCGTGTGGAGGGGACACAAATTCCCTCCTCTCGTCTCATCCCACTAGTACATATGTGGATTGCTTTTACCTAAGTTGCACAGATAATCTGTTTATGAAATTCATTCGCTTGTGCTGTGATGGCCTTGTCTTGTTCCCTACTGTATACTCAGGGTCTAGCATAATAAATACTTGTCAGAGGCAAGGGCGAGTTGTGGGGCATGGGGAACATACAATTAGGCGGAGGCTCTATTTTAAAAAGTTAAAAATATATAAATGTAGAATCAGGTTCAGGGCTTAGGAAGGGGCCCGTGCAAGTGTGGCACCTAAAGCTAAAGCTTAGAAGGCTTCATGGAAAATTTACCTTTGTCCAAAGAGGTGAACGTGGTCCTGAGCACTCATGAATGAGCGCCTGCCTTTTTGTGACCTTATACTGTGTCATTGCCTTGCTTTGGTCCTATGACAATTTAGTTTAGGTCTGTTACTTGAGGGGCAGGCTAATGATGGAAAGTCATTATACCCACAAGGTACGTATGTTGAGGTGGTGTGGATGAACAGACATGAGGCCAGAGTCTCCTAAAAAAATTTAGAATCTGGCTTTTATCAATAACCTATGTATTCGTCTGCTTGGGTTACCATAACAAAATACCACAGACTGGCTGGCTCAAACAACAGAAATGTATTTCTCATAGTTCTGAAGGTTGGGAAGTCCAAGATCAAGGCACTGGCTAACTTGGTTTCTGGTGAGAGCCCTCTTCCTGGCGTTTAGATGGTCCCCTTTTCACTGTGTCTTCATATGTCTTTTCTTCTGTGAATTCTCAGAGAGAGAGAGAGAGAGAGAAGAAAGGAGAGAGAGGAAGAGAGAGAGAGAGATAGAATTCTTTTTTTTCTAGAAGGCCATCAGCCCTACTGGGGTAGAGCTCCACCCATATGATCTCATTTAACTTTAATTACCTCCTAAAAATGTTACTCCCAAATACAATCCTATTGGGGGTTAGGGCTTCACTTAGGAATTTGGTAGGGTACACAAGTTAGCCCATGGCACTTGTGAGGCCTGCTTCTGGCTTCACCTTAGCTCTCATTTGAGAACTCACCTCTTTGGGCTCTAATAGACTCATCAGATATGGGGATAATATCAGAGCAAGGTGGGGGAGAATAATTATCTCTAGGAGATAGAACCAAAATGGCACCTTGCCTAGAACAACAATCCCAACGGGCATGTTGAGACCGTGTAAGATTTTGAAAGGAGATACCAGGCTGGTCACAGAGATACAATTTCCTTGGTTCCTGATGCAACTTTGGTTCTTTCCCTTCCTGCTCGTTGTCTTTCTTTTTCCTTCCTTCCTTCCTTCCTTCCTTCCTTCCTTCCTTCCTTTTCTTCCCTTCTCCTTCCATTTTCAATATTATAGTCAGACACGGTGGTTCTTGGCACTTTCAGCGATGGTTATCTGCTTTTGATTTCCCCAAAATGAAAGAGTTGACTTAGCCGAGCAAGGAGCAGGAGAGCAGAGGGGGCAGAATAGATGGGGGAGGGAGGAGGTGCGAGGTCGGGTGATGTGAGTGCAAGACAAGACAAACAAGGGTGTCATGGCATGGGGGTGTGAGGCTGGAGGGGTGGGCGCCAGCAGAGAGCGAGAAATTTCCCAAGTGATAACTCTGGGTCTCAAGTTTCTCATTAGTTAAAAAAAAAAAAAAAAAGCTAGAGTAGAAAAAGTAGAAAATCCCCGAGGTGCCCTCGATCTCTAATATACCTTTCTACCTTCCCTTTCCGGGGGAGTGGAATTGATAAGCAAAACCCTTTGTGTACCTTATGCGAAAATCATTATGCAAATTCAAAGCATTGTTCAAATTAATTCTAATGAGGTTCAAGGGGAAAAACAAGTAACAACCAAAACTCTTTAATAAAGTGTTCTAAAAAGAAAAAAAGAATTATCGCCCACTTCTGCACTTCCTGCTTTTGGCAGGGACTAGAAGTGGAAATCTGAAGACACTGTGAGACAGTCTGTTCTCATGGTATTTCTAGCTGAGAACAGGAAGGAGGGGAAATCTCATATGAGTGAGAGAGCCTGTTTTTCAGTGATGAGCAGGCCAAAGAAGTTTCACTGGGCAATCAAGCTTGACAGCACCTCTGAGAGTTTTACCTTTATTTGGTCAACATCACACACTTTGTCCGCAGCCAGTCTCCCCGAGGCTCCGCCGTAGGTGCTGGAGACCCAGGCGGAAGCAATGCGGCCCCTGCCCTTCTGGAGTGTACAACCCGAGCTGGAAGGATGAGGCATCTGGAAATGAAAAATTACTACAATGCTAAGCAGCGCGTGCCCCGTGCTGACTTGGCCATGCAGACACTGCTAAGAAGGAGCCGTCTGCACGCTTCCCCAAATCCTTCATTAGCTTGCCTTGCTCTCTGCCTTATCGTTGGGCTCTTCTGACTCATCACCGGAGTGTTCTGCACCTTTAAGGCAAAACATGTTTCTCAATTCCTTAAGCTCTCTGGCCCGTCTCGAGTCACAACAGACTGTCCTGTGTGTGATCCCAGTGAGTCACTGAAGCTGAATCACGTTAACAATAAGCGTGTAATGATTAATGCATATTGATTGGCTGGGTGGGCTGGAACCAGAAAGGTCCCGTCTGGACTAGTTGCTTTGTCCCTAATTACCTGCCATGTGCACCGGCGTCTAAACTTGCCACAGACATTCCAGGGAACGCCCTTGGTCACTGTGACTCCAGTTGGATCTCATAAATCTCCTAATGGCATCTTTACAACCAGGGCCAGTCAAGGGCTCAGGTAGAGTGATGGGCACCCCCTCCCTCTCCCCACCCCTGCGGAGAACACAGAACCCCTGGTGGGAGAGCATCTCTCTCACTCACTGAGGGGGACTGTTCCTGGAAAAAGATGAAAAAGATGTGATTTCTCTTTGAAATAATGCACTGATGAGGATTATGTTGTGAACAAGGGACTAATCCTCAGTGTTTTATTGAAATGGCCCCCAATACCATGTTTAATCAACTATTTATGTAAACCTGGGTGATATGCCTTTCCAGTGAATAGGAAAATGCTTACAAAAGTGTGTGTAAATTAGACAGATACAGGGGGAGCCTATCGCACTGTGTTTGCTGTGACGTTTTAACCTAAGTGGCTGCTTCGTGCCCCGGAAAGGAGGATGCCTCCATGTTCCATGGTGGCATGGACTTCAGGATTTCTCCTGGTTAATTGTGTCTGCATCTCTGAGAAAACCTATGATCGTTTTATGCGTTTTTATTTATTTCCTCTTGGGACCATGAAAATGAATGAGACGCAAACTCAGCCATCGGAAGACCAAACAATCTAGCGAGTAAGGTGAACAGACATCCCAACAACACAAAGTGGGCAAAGAGGGCTTTGGGTGGGGAACTTCGCAGACTGGGAGTCCAGTGTAGAATGTGATCATCTTCAACGTCCAGACTGAAATACTGGAATCAGAGAATCCTTTTTTATTTATTAAAAAAATTTTTTTAATGTTTATTTATTTTTGAGAGAGAGAGAGAGGGAGAGAGAGAGGGAGGGAAGGCAGAGAGAGACAGAGACACAGAATCTGAACTGGCTCCAAGTTCCAAGCTGTCTGCACCGATCACGACGTGGGGCTCGAAACCACAGAGCACGAGGTCGTGACCTGAGCTGAAGTTGGACACTTAACCGACTGCGCCACCCAGGCGCCCCTGAATCCTTTTTTAAAATATATTTTTTTGATCACAAGTTCACTGTAGGCAATCTATAAACTAGAGAAAGGCCCAAATATGGAAGTAAAAATTCCTCTGACATTGCCCAGCGATAACCACTGTCCAATGTTGCTACTCAGGTCATTCTACTCAGTTTTCTATGCATACCTAGGAATGTGAAAATGACAGTAGGATCACATTGTAGACTGTTTTACAAACTGTTCATGTACCAACATGCTGTGGCGTATACCACGATTATTTTCCCCTCACAATTTCATGTCCTCCTACTCCAAGATTTTTAACGGTTTTATAATCTGTCACCCTGTGAATGCACAGCATTTGATGTATCCACGCGCCTAGAGTAGGACATTAACATTGTTTTCAGCGTTTCACTAATATAAGCAATGCTGTGATGAGCATCTTCGTGTATCTGTGCATCTTACTGATTTTTTCCTCAGAATACATTCCCTAAATATAGAATTGCCAGATTATAGGTATGAAAATCCAAGCCCATGGCCAATACTACGATTGCAGAAGGCAAGCCGAGGAATGGACCCATGTATTTCAGCAACGCTGGTGGCTTTGCTTTATGCTTTCCTTTATATTGTGTAAACATTGATCCGAGAGATAAAAGTGGTCATTCTGGGTCTACCAGCAGAAAGCTCTCCTAGATTTTGGCTGCCATTTTATCCACACTAGCAACTTGACTCTGAATTCGCTTGACACAACTTGTTTTACCTGCCTTTAACAGGCACGGACAGACCCTTACCTACAACTTGCTGTCTTCCCATTCCTTCCTGCATTATTACTTCCCAGGGTCAAAAATCACAGTTCTTTCTGATATGCAACCACACTCAAGAAGAAACAGTTGAGTTTGATAATACAGCCACAGTATCCAAAACAGAAGTTTTAGCTCGGCTATACGCATGATGCGTTAATTTTTAAAAGCTCTTACAACCCCCCTGTAGAGCACTTCATGTTAGTGGTCGTCTTTAGGGTGAAAACATCACATTTGACTATAGGCTAAGGACACCGATATTTTCACAAACATACTGGGAGATACGCATCTGGAGTGAGGTGGCCAAAGGCCCCTTACTCATATCGTTTTAGAGGTTGGCTTTCAGAATTGTCAGTTGAGGAGAACGGCGAGTAATTCTCTGTTTCCACCTCAGGGTTTCAGCACCCTCGCTGGTTCTGTTCAGTCCCTGGTTTCACCTGCTTCAACATATCGTTTGTCAGTGCCTGTTCCGTACCTGGAACGTGACCCAGTCGGTGTCCTCATAAGCTCGCAGTGTCGTGCAGGAATGGGCAAGTAAAAAAAGCTTTGATAACACAGTATCCTAATTCTTAGGACTATAGGAGAGACCTGGAGACCGGGGTTGACGTGAAGTACAAGATGGCGGCTGAGGGGTTCTGTAGGGCCAGCCAGGGGCAGGAGAGGAGGGAGCACACGCTGTGTGGTGCAGCCTTGCCCCGTGCTTGGGGGAGCCTGGGGCCAGAGCATCTCCAGAGCACAGATGGAAGCCACTTTCCATCTGTGGCAGTACATAAAAGGTGTAAATCAGGTTAATACGCTCTTAACTAAAATATAGCTTCAGATGGACAAAGCCGAAAAGATACGTGCAAAGCTATGGTTTCATACGGTAGAGAGTTGGAAGCCTCTAAAGCAGTTGGATTCAATTATTGTTGTTCATCTAAGGATGTTCTGCTGATGGGCTGGCAACGTTTGGGTGAGTACGAGAGGGTGTATATGATCTTGGGCACAACAGTGATTGTGTCCGGTGTGGGACTGGGGGCGTGAAGAGGGACCTTTTACTCCTTCATTTAGGCAACTTTTAAGAGACATGATGAGACTACAGGTGATTTTCTTTTCTTTTTCTCTGCTTTTCTCTATTTTCCAAATTTCTAAAATAATCATATGTTGCTTATATAATTGGGGAAAAAAACTAAAAGGAAAGAAATGGCAAGACTAGAAAACCATTCTAGGATGGGAAAGTGTCTCATTGCGTTGAAGTTCCAGAAAAAGTGGTGCTTCAGCTCTGAGGCCTGCGCGATTTAAACCATTCACTGCAGTGAATCCTGGGAACGCCAGGCATTTTTCAAGAGGTCATGGTGGAGTTGGAGAGATGCCCCACTCTCTCATATCAAAAAATGGCAGAGAGTCTGTATTTTTAAAGAACATGTACAGCCGTAGAACTTATTGCCTGACCTTTCTAGGCATATTATTTTTACAAAGAATCTGTTTATTTTTCAATGACTTCAGACACTTCAGAGTATGGATTATTTTTATAATGAGATACTGCATTTACTCGGCGACCTCAACTTTTCAAAGTGCTTCATATGAATCCTCACATTTTGGCCTTCTAATAACCCCAGGAGGCTGGAAAATGTTATCTCCCTCTTCCAGGAAGGAAAATGAGGCTCAAAAACCTGAGATTGAGTGCACATGTCACAACAGTTCCTGACGGGACAAGGACAGAGTATAATTCTCTTTAATCTGAGTCCCATTCTTACATCACTGCTATTAATAAACTTACATGTTGGGTTTTTAAACATATACATATTTTTCAGAAATTTTTGTAGATATTCCCACTGTTTGTTTCTTCTTTTACTTTTTTTATCTTATTTATTTTGAGAGAGACAGAGAGAGAGAGAGAACGCACACAAGTGGGGGGGGGCAGAGAAAAGGAGAGAGAGAGAGACAGAGAGAGAGAATCCCCAGCATGCTCCACGCTGCCAGCACAGAGCCAGACGCAGGGCTTGAACTCACAAAACGGTCAGATTACGACCTGAGCCGAAACCAACAGTCCCACACGTAACTGCCTGAGCCACCCAGGTATACCTGTTTGTTTCTTTTAAAATAGAAGTTATCTTTAAAAGGCAGCTAACATTTCTCTATGAGCTACTAAAGAATACTCAGTACCCTTTTAAGACACGCCTGACTCCCTGTAAGTAATTCCATAAATAAGGATCTTTATAGAAACTGCTAATTAGCGCTAAGTACCTTTAGAGATGCCTTTGGGCTACTGTCCAGAGATGCACTGTGTGTGTGTGTGTGTGTGTCTCGGGCG